TAAAATACTAATGGCTACTGAATGTAATAAAATGACAGCAATAAGTAAGCTGTAAAGCTCCTGAGATCCCATGTCTTTAATTCTGTTCTTTCAACAATGACACCAATTATCCCCACTAACTACACACAGACACATTCATGCATCTGGTATCAGTCATAAAAGTGTGACTTCTACACACAAAACAATTAATCTCATAAGACCCAGGGGAGATCTTCTGAAGGCTTTGTGGGGACGAGGGAGAAGGGAGGGGGTTCCTCCAGAAACATGAACACCTTTGGATTGAGGACCAGGCCAGCTCATCATCTAAGTCCTTTGACCTGAGACCAGGTATTCAGCCCGTGTCTCCCTTGGCTTCTCCTTGTGAGGTGCCAACAGGACAGAATTCAGTCCTGTTCTGCCTGCTACTTGCCAGGCTCGAACTCAGGCCAGGCAGGACCCACGGTGCAGGTCTAAACATGCAGGTAACTTGGCAAGAAAGGAACCTGCAGCTGAGCAGCAACTAAAATTCCTTCCACAGGAAGCCTGTGGCTTCGGAAGAGTTTTAAAGACACATAAAACTGAATACTGTGAACTTTGCAAAGGCCCAAAGTACACTTATTACATTATGTTTCCCTTTTGATTATACGTGCACAGTTTTATTTATTTATTTTAATATACTTTTTATTTTTGATAGTATTGCAGATGTCTCCCATTTCCCCCCTTTCTCCCCTCCTTCAAGCCCCTACCCACCCACTCTCCCCCACCCACGTCTTCACTACCCTATTGCCTGTGTCATAGGCTATAAGTATACAAGTTCTTTGGTTTATCTCTTTTCATCCTCCCAACCCCACACCGAGGTATGTCAGTTTGTTCCATGCTTCCATGTTTTAGGTCTTATTTTGTTGGCTAATTCATTTTGTTCATTAGATTTCACAAATAAGTGAGATTACATGACATTTGTCTTTCTCAGTTTGGCTTATTTCACTTAGCATAGTATTTTCTAGGTCTATCCATGCTGTTCCAAAGGGAAATAGACCCCTCTTTTTTTACAGCTGCATAATATGCCACAGTGTAAATGTCCCACCGCATTTTTTATCCACTCATCTGCTACTGATTGGGGATTTGGGCTGTTTCCAAGTCTTCGCTATTTTTGGCTTCAGAAGAGTTTTAAAGACACATAAAACTGAATACTGTGAACTTTGCAAAGGCCCAAAGAACATAGGGATGAATACGTTTTTTCTGATTGGTGTTTAGGGGTTTTTAGGTTATAATCCCAAAAGAGGGATCACTGGGACAAAAGGAAGTTACATTTTTAATTTTTTTTCCGGAATGTTTTTTTTTAAATTGTTTTATTGTTAAAGTATTACAAAAATATTACATATGTCTCCTTTTATTCCCTGCCCTTGATGATCTCCTGGCTTCCCCTATGCTCCCATTCTCTTATGTCCATTGTTTACGCTTATATGCATGCATACAAGTCCTTCGGTTGATCTTACCCCCTAAAACCCCTCTCCTGCCTTCTTGATGAGTATTGAGCATCTGAAAGATGCTTCTCTGTCTATGGACATACCACCCTGAATGTGCCCGATCTCCTCTGATCACTTTTTGAATAACATTTCCTTGCCTGGGACACAGGGGGATAAGCAGGCCTTCTATGTCAAAATATAACCCCTTGGAGTCTAAGAGCATGAAGCTGGTTCTTCTGATCAACATCACTGGGGGGGAATGGACCACTGGAAATATTGGCCAGAATAGATAGCAAAGAGACACCTGGAATAAGTGGGTTTCCAAATCTTATCCTGTCAATTCCATCTCAAGAACATTAGCCTTTTTTGAGTATTTTCCCACTGACAAACTTCCTCACGCGATGTTAATTGCATTGTATATGAACAGCATGGCTAACAAATTCATGTGACATGATGAAATGTGGCAAAGTGCTGTGATGGGGCGTAACAAAAAAAAATGGATCATCTGTGTACTTTCTTCTGCTATCATTTGAAAGTGAAATGATAGCATAGGGAAAACAAAAAGACAAAAGTATCACTCTAGGTGTACATAGAGACACATGAATATTTTCCGTAATTTTTAAAGAATGATTATTAAGGATGAAATTTAAAAGAATAAAAAATATATGTAGAATAAATTGTGATCACCTGTGTTACTATTAAATCTTAAAATGCTGCCATTGCCTGTGTGTCTTTAAATAGAACATTAGGGTGACAGTTGGGAGACCATTGAACTCCTGATTCCATCCACTTTTCCCTTCCCCAGAGCTACTTACTATCAGCCACTTTGTGCTTCTCCCTATGTAGGTTTCTACAATTTTACTAAAAAGTTGTGGACACACAAGTTAACTTAGTGTTAATTTTGCATTTTTGAAATTTTATTTCAATAGCATCATTCAGAATGTACCCTGACCTCTCTTTCTCAGGATTGTTGCAGCTATTCGGGGTTATTTTTTATTCCACGTGAATTTTTGGAGAGTTCGTTCTAGGTCTGTGAAATATGCCGTTGGTATTTTAATGGGAAGTGTGTTGAATTTATAGATTGCTTTGGGTAGTATGGACATTTTAATGATGTTGATTCTACCAATTCATGAACATAGTATGTTCATCCATCTGTTTATGTCTTCCTCTATCTCTTTTTTCAACATCCTATAGTTTTCTGAATAGAGGTCTTTTGCCTTTTTAGTTAAGTTTATCCCTCGGTAGCTTAATTTTTTTGGTGCGATGGTAAATGGGATTGTTTTTTTAGTCTCTCTTTCTGTAAGTTCATTATTGGTGTATAGAAATGCCATAGATTTCTTGGCATTAATTTTGTTTCCTACTACATTGCCGAATTCATTTATTAAGTCTAACAGTTTTTTGATGGAGTCTTTAGGGTTTTTTATGTATAATATCATGTCATCTGCAGCAGATGCACAAGCAAACCCTCCACATCCAAGGAGCAGCAGCCCTGCGCAGCCTGCTCTGGTCCAAGGAGCAGAAGCCACATGTAGCCTGCACCTTTCCACTGAGCAACAGCTGCACGTGCAGCTCACTCCCACCTGAGAAGCAGCAGCCACGCAAGTAGCCCATCCTCCATCCAAGGAGCAGCAGCTGCAAGAGCCGCCTGCACCCGTACAAGGAGCAGTAGCCCTGTAAGCAACCTGCCTCAGTCCAAGAAGGGGCAGCCTCATGAGCAGTTCGCCCCACCTAAGGAACAGCAGCAGTGTGCAGACAGCCGCGATCCAAGGTGCAGCAGTCATGTGAGTAATCCACCACCATCCGAGGAGCAGAAGCCACATGAACAGGCTGCCCCATTCAAGGAGCAGCAGCTATGCTCAGACCTCCCCCATCTGTGGAGCAGCAGCCTTGTGATCAGCCCATCCCTGTCCAAGGAACAGCAGCTCTGTGAGCAGCCTCCCACAGCAGCCAGAGGTGACACCACTGCTGCAACCAGCACCCACCAGAGGAGCCACTTCCAACTGAGGAGCAGCCACTTCCAAAACATCCCAAGGAGCAACCACAGCCCAAGGAGTCACTGCCACCCAAGGAGCAGCCCCTGCATGACTCAACATCTAGCTCAGTCGGTGAGACCCAAAATGGGTAGACAAAGAAACTCCCAAAGCAAAGAAAAGGAAGAATCGTCAGAAAAGCAGCTAAGTGAAACAGAGG